GTAACCCCATCGACATGGACGGGCTGAGGCAGGGCCGAAGCTTCTCCAGGTTGGGGCTGCTGAGCGTGCTGCTATTGTTGGCGGTATGTACCAACCGACCAACCAACCGAGCAAGCGTTCAACCCTCAACCACCCAACATGCGTGCTGTGCTCCCGTGCTGTGATAACGCCACAAAGGTGGATGATAAGGCCCACCTATGCTGTTCTGTTTGTTCCGCCTGTGCGCGGCTCCTCTACGACATGGAAGTGCTGAGGTGCATTTCTGTCTGTTTCTTATTCTTTTTTCACAAGCATCATCGTTGTTTATTTGGGTTCAATTAATCTTGCTTGATATCCATCGCGACTTGTGCCTATGTACTTCTTTCTTGGTACGCATTGCTGGGGGAGGCGCTGCGCCCTCCCTCCTGCACCCCCACCCGCTTTTATTTTCTAATCGGCTCCCCCTGCTACCTACTATTCTTTTTGTTTTTCGTAAGCATCATCGGTTATTTGGGTTCATTCTATCTTTATTGATATCCATCGAGATTTGTGCCATTATGTACTTCTTTCTTGGTACGCATTGCGGGGGGAGGGCGCAGCGCCCTCCCCCCTGCACCCCCCCACCCGCTTTTATTTCTTAATTGACTTCCCTTGCTACCTACTCTCTTTCATTTTTTCATAGGTATCGTTTCTTTGGGTTCATCTTCTCTTTCTTAATCTTTATTTATATCCATCGAGACTTGAGCCTGTGTGCTTCTTTCTTGCCACGCATTGCGGGGGGAGGCGCTGCGCCCTCCCCCCTGCACCCCCCCACCCGCTTTTATTTTTTAATCAGCTTCCCTTGCTACCTACTCGCTTTCTTTTGTTTCTTTGATCCTTATTTCAACTTACAGTATTTGTTTTTTTCAAGATCAGAGAAACACACTTACAAGTATTATGACACGTCGTGGAAAAACACTCGATCAGACAACATGCAAGCAATATACGTCACCTGTTCCTGGAAATCTCTGTGCCGGCCAGAGGCCCGGCAACGCGCGCAAACTAGCTCTGGCCAAGCCTTTGTCGCCACAAAAAGGTGGATGGTATGGCCCACCAACTGCTACGTTTAGTGTTACGGTACTACTCCTGCCGCTGTAATCCGCTGTCTGCTGTGACAGCGCAACAAAGGTGGATGATAAGGCCCATCTACATTGCGAAATGATGCGAAGTCTTCATGACCATGTGAGCGCTTTGGCTGGGGGAGGCGCTGCGCCCTCCCCCCGCGCCCCCCTCCCGCCTTTCTATTTTAAAGCCACCCCCCGCGGCTTGTGACAACGCCAGACAGGTGGATGATGCGGCCCGCCTTCTTTTCGTCAGTCTTTCCATTGCCATCCTTTCTCTTTTCCTACGCCTGCGCGGGGCTTCTCTACGACATGGGAGTTCCGAGGTGCAGTGGTGCGTTTGACCAGTGTGCCGGTGCCCGAAGCACTTCCAGGGGAGAATGCTTGCGTATGGTGAATTTGGGCGTGGAAAGCATCAAGCCACCACCTCGCCCATAGTAAATCAGTTACTCTAAGCGCGTGCTTTGCTGTAATGCTGTGACGAAGCCACAAAGGTGGATGATACGGGAGGCGCTGCGCCCCCCCCTCCCCCCAACGCCCCTCCAGCTTTGTTTCCAAGGTGTCTGATATTGCATTTCCTGCGTCCAACCTGTCTTTGCGTTATGTGTGTGTCAGCTGTTTGTAGGTACTTTAAACATGCTTGTCATGTCCCAAAGTGTCTGTATAGTCCTGTCTTTCTTTGTCTTCCCGTGTCTATCTTCTTCTTATCGTCTGTCTTCTCCAAACGCCATGAGGGAGGCGCTGCGCCCTCTCTTCCAACCCCTCTCCAGCTTTCTTTTTGAAAGTCTATGGCGATACCTTTTTTTTTAAAAGTATGACAAAATGCCTTTCTTTTTCAAAGTGTCTGACAATGCCTTTACAAAAGCTAAGGGCCGTACAGATTGTCTTATTGTATTGGTGGTTCGCTTTCATTCTGCTAGCCTGCCTCAGACGTGGCGATATGTCCGGCATGTCTGTCAGTGTGTGTGTGTGACTTTGCAGCCATTTGCTGATATCCGCGCGTGCTTGGAACTGTTTCCTTGTTACGCGCGCGCCTCAAGGTTAGAAGTCGCTGTGTTTGCGTTTCGATTCAAGAATGTTGCTATACCCATCGGTCCCTGACGGCTAAGGTTCTCAGGTACTCTACCGAAGCCATGCCAGCAGTGTCTTTGTCCAGACCTCACTCCGTACTTTGACGTCTTGAAAGATACAAGCCTGTTGATCTGAGGCTTTCATCTCCATTGTGGCTGGGCCCTTCGAACATGGCTTCTTCTCGTGCTTCGTTCGTGTGTGTCCGTCAAAAGGCTGTTTTGTTTGACTCCGTCACGTCTTACCAGTCTTCTTCTTTTGCACAACCGGGCGAAATCTTTCTCACTGATTCTTCTCGGGCTCGTGTCGTGGACGGCTTCCACATGGTTCCTGTGGACTGTGGCGCTGTCGAGGCTGCTTTCCTACGTCTGGCGTCTTCAACCGATCTCCAACTGAATCCTGACCTCGTTGTCTTGGATTTGTCTTCCCGATGCATTCCCCGCCGAAAGACTTCCAAGCCGTTCAAGTTCGCCAGCGGGCCGGGCTGCATTCCTTGGAATTCTTGCTTGCGTGCGCGTTTGTTTTCCAATCTTCCTCTTGGCAGAGTCGTTCGCAAAACACAACACACCACGCAATATTTTGGAAGCCGCCGTCATCAAATCAGCCTTCTCCAAAGGTGTCACCCGTTGTGCGCGTGGTCGCAGACATTTCATTCTCTGCCGGTGTCCCAACGCAATCAGATTGCTCATGCTTTTTTGTCGACTTCTCTTGCCTTCACCATCTCCCAGATGTTCTTCGATCAAACAATGTATCCGTTTGTCCCTGGATGGCTTCATCGGCCGCTCGAGAATGGCGCTTCTCAGTACTGCTGGTGGTTCTCCCACGCTGATGTCGCCCACCAGCACCCTCTGTCGGCCATGCGCGAAGCGAGGAGCCATGGCGTGCCCTTGGACGTGTTCGGTCCTGTCACTGACACGCGCCACATTCGTTTGCTGGTTTCTGCCTTCAGTCGCCTGTACCCGACTGGCCTTTTGATTTTGCACCAGCCGGCTGGGTGTTGTCTGTTGTTTTTGCCGTCTTGCCCCACTCAAAAGTTATCTTTTGAGGAAGCCAGCCAGTGGCTATTTTGCTTCCCAAGTACACGCGCCATGTTCTTCACGCAGCCAGCAGGTGCTGTGGTTGGTCATTTTGTCGGTTGCTACTTGAAACGTGCAAAGTCATGGTCTTCTTCCGCTGATAATTCACGTCACCGTTGCTTCGTGCGCCAGTCGTTCCCTCACAGCTACCAGTTGTGTGGTTGCGGCGTCGGAGATAGTGTTTCGGCTGGCGGCTTGGATTCAGAAAGTCTTGCGTGGACAGGCGAAAATTCAACGCCTTGCCGTGATCCACACTGTCAAATTTGTTTTCGCCGTATACCTCCGGCGTCGCCTTCCATCGATGCGTCGATCCCAGCTCAGCAACTAGTTTCACTCCAAGATGAAACACCAAGCTCGCAAACGCATGCTACCACCTTGATGGATTCAAGCGCGTCGTCGCATGATGTTTCAGCAGGGCCGTCGCCCCTAAACCCACATTGTCTTTCTCCAACTGTTTCGTTTTCTTTGGATTTGCCTGCTCCGGCTCCATCCACTTGGTTCGACCCCCTGAGACCATCGCTGACCTCACAATCTGTCCGACGAGCATGGTCATCCACTGCAGATGCAGCGCCAATGCGCAAGCCCTCAGACCAGACATTGGAATTCGAACCTCCGGTTGAAATGGGTCTGTCTTCATTGCTGCCGCAAAGCTTGCCTGAACCTGCCCGCTCTGCCGAGTGCGGCAATGATGGTGTTGTTTCTTTGCCTTTCTTCCCGAAATGGTTGCCTAAGCCTGTTCAACACCAATCTCAGAGTGCGAGTGCCCCTTTGCCTTTTTTCCCAAAATGGACTCCGCGACAGCATCGTGCTTCGTTGCCCTTCTTCCCACAGTGGGCGCCAAAGGCTGCGCCGCATCCATCCAGCAGCAACCTGCCAGAGACCGTAGGAGGAATGGTTGGCAGCACGCCGCCTCCGGTCTGTTTGTCTTCAACAACATATTGGAATTTGCTAGCTGTGGGCGTTCCGCCTGCAATCGCCCGAGAAGCGGCGCGTCGCCATGTCGATGATTTCGATGCTGCGTTGGATTGGGCGTGTTCGTCAGATAGACGACACACACGGGTCGGTGTTCCAGATTGTGTTGACCTGGTTGACTCTTCCAGCAATGCCAGCCCTCCACCTGGCGCTGCCTCTCCCAACCCGGTGAATCTGCGCGTTCCGGCGTCGTGGTTGGCTTCTCCAACAATCGCAGACGCAGCCTTGGCCCCGCATCCTGAATCTCTTGATGCAGCAGCACCGCCGCCCTTGCCATCTGTTCCTCCATTTCCTGGATCTTGGGTTTACTCGCCTTCTGTTCTTCCGGGCGTTTCTGCGTCTGCTGATATGCGTCTTGCAACCAACACCCCGGCGCTTCCAGCCCCTTGTTCCTTTCGGGAAGCTGCTTCCGAAGATCTTCTCAACGTGCGCAGCGAGGCAGAAGCAGATCCAGATGTTGGGGCGCGCAGCGTTGGTCTTAGATGCGTTGGCCCCCCATGCTATGTCGACGACCCAGCTGCCGAAGTGCATTCCTGGTTCTGCTTGCTGGCAAATTCCTGCGGTTCTGCTGGGTTTGATCTTGATTTTTGGTCCAGGATGCCGCTCTATTCGCAACACATCCAGGAGCGCAGTCTCCGAGAAATTGTTACGGAATCTTTGGCAGCTATCCAAGATCTGCGCGGCTTAGATTTGTCCATAGATCAAGCCGCTAAGTTACCGCGTTGTCTTGGCCAAACAACATTGCTGCCTCTGGCTGTTGCAGCAGAGTTCTTACATGAAGGTTGTGGCTTCCCTGCGATTTTTGCCTTCGATCTTTTCCAATCATGTCTCGCTTCCTGCCAGCACAAGGCGTTGGAGGTAGCACTGTATGCTGCGAAATCAAAATCGTTCACATGCAAGGCCCGGTGGTGGGCCTGCCCGACCGGCGACCCAAATGCCGGCAAATCACCAACTTGCGCCTTTGTCATGAAAGCCTTTGTTGCCATGGTAAAATCCTTGCCTGAAGGCTGCTGGCCGGATCAACATTGGATTGGTGTCGGAAATAACAACCGGATCCAAAACCGCCTTCGGGCTCTTGATGGAACCCTTCTCCTCTATGGTCCAGAATCCAAGCCTATCTTGGATCCAAATTTCCCCACCAAGAAAACGGTTGACACCGGGAAGTTTTTGGATTTAACCCGGTGGCTGGAGGCAGCTAACGGTGGCCGGTTTGAATGGGGCACCGGCGCTGAGGAGAATGAACGGCAAAAGCGCAAAACAGCTTCAGGGCCAGTGACAGAACCATGTAGTGCACCCCTGGTATTTGACCCGACAAACATCAATCTATGCCTCTTCCAACAATTCAACTTGTTTGAGGATTGGTGGTGCAATGTCGAGGCAATCCACAAGTGTGGCTTCAGCGCGCGGGTGCTCATGAGTCCAACTGACCGTGCTATTGTGAACCGAGACGTTGGCTTGCAAGACCCAACTTGCGTTGCAAAGCTTATGTCTAAGATTTGGACGCACACCGTAACGCACCATGGACCGGAGAAGGCGCCATCAGAACCCCTGTGCCCTTCCCTCCTGGCCCAGGGAGAAGTGCGATCCCTATATTACGAACTGCACGAAGAAGATCAGAAAGGTGGTTGGGGATCTGCAATGAAATCAGCGCTTGGGAAGATGGAATACCATGTCCCCACAACTGCTTGCCTCACTTCCTTGGCGTCCTGGGCTTTGAGTCCGCCATCCCTGTCTAATGCCCTCAGTGACAACTCCATCAAATGCGCTGTTTTGCACTTTGCCCTTCGCCTTTGCCAAAGTTGCGCCGTCGTGGATTCAACAATTCGGCGCATTCAAGCAAGGCAAAAACTGCCGCCCGCTGCGCACTCCTTGCCGTCGCAGCAAGTCCGGCCACTCACGGCGCGGGTCTTGGAGACGTGCCGCAAAGATCCAATTCTCGAAACGCACCTCAGCTGTCACTTTGCCATGCTCAGAGGCGCTGACAAGCGTCAGGACAGACTGGCTCTTCTAAACGAGCTTGTTCGCTTGGGGCTTGGTGAAATCAAAGAGAAAAGGCGTCGGCATGGAGGGGAGGGCCGCTGTGTGGAGTTTCATCGGTGCCCGCTTAGTCCCACAGTTTCGGCTGCTCTTTTGACTCTGAACGTCCCAGAAGCTTTGTGGCCACGTCCTGCAACTCTTGCCCCCGCCCCAATGCCTTCCGATGCTGTTCCACCTATGCATGGTGCTGGAAAACGCGCCCGGGCCCAGGCCGCAGTGCAGCCAGAAGCCCCAGAAGCAGCAGATCACCCAGATGCCAAAAAGGGCCGGGGTCGCCCTTCTGCAAAAGAGGTTGATGACCTATATTCAATGCAGGCAACTCTTCCCTGTGAGCAAGAGCAGCTCTCCAAAGCAGACTTTCTAAACCAAGAAAAGGCCTGGGCAAGTTCGTTAGTTTCCGACCGCAACTTGCGCATCAAAGGCCAGTTTGCTGCACATAAAAAAGGCTTCAAAGTTCACCTGTGGTGCAATTCTTGTGATGCTTGTCAGGATCGGAAAGGCTGGAAGGCCATTTGCACGTATAATCGAGATGAGAAGCTAATTCATAGAAAGTCCACGCCGATAGCTTCTCATGGCGATTTCAATGCCACCCGGGCCTGGAACCCTTTAACCAGCACTGCAGAGCATGCATTGAAGCAGTTCGTGCAAGCAAATGCGCATTTCTCGACGCAGGACTTGGTGAAAATTGTCGAGAAGCACCAGCCAGATCGCCCGACCGATGCATTCCTCCAAACATGGGGAAAAAACCATCGGGTTCACAAAGGCTCTGCAAAAAGCCGCACAAGTTCTTTCAAGTGGGTTGAATCAGATTGGCGGCAGTTGGAGCGAGACCTTGGCTCTGCACTGGACTTGGAAGAAGCTGTGAATGAGCTTAAAATTGCCGGCCTCTTGTTGGAACGAGAGCAGACGGCGATCATCTTTTGCAACCCAATGTTGCTCGAAGAGACTTTGCACAGCTTGACCAACAGGGTCTACATAAAGTTGTGCGGAGATGGAACGTTTAGGCTCACCGAAGAAGACTGGGTGCTCATGACCGTTGGTGTTTTGTCCAAACATTATTCCGAATCCGAAGGCGTGGAGGCATTTCGCACTGCCTTTCACCCTCTTGTTTTCGGCCTTGCCAACAAGGAAAGCCAGCCAACTTATCAGGTCTTGTTCGAAGCATTGTGTGCTTGCGCCGAGAAATTTGCTGGTGTGGATTTGCGGTCGTCGTGCCAGCAGTATCATGCTGACATGCACCCTGGCGAGGACCTTGCGCAAAGATCCGTGTTCATCAATGCCAGCCGTGTGGCCGACTGGGCCCATGTTATTGGTGCTTGCAACCGTCCAAAAGCTTCAAAGCATTTAGCGCTTGGTGATGAGCGGATCAAAATTTTCCGATCCGGTGCGTTTGCCACGATGCAAAACAATTTCACGCGAGCAGGCCAGAAGCTTTTACCCTTGGTCAAACGTGCCTTCTTCTGCCTACGCTCTGTCCCCACAGCAATGATTTTCCATTCCATTGCAGCACTCCTACTTCAAACCCTCGTGTCTCAGCAGCCACCGGAAGAGAAAGCAGCCAAAGCACTGCAGCGGCATTATCTTGTCAAGCATGGCCGCCAGCAAGCGCAAGCGAACTTCAAGGTGGAGGATTGGCCCGGTGAGCAAAACACATTCTACACCGCAGAATGGTGGTGCGGCTTGCAGCGGATACAGCCCGGCTCCGCTTCTGGCACGCAAGCGCAAGAGTCGTGGCACCGCTGGAAGCTCAAGAAATACCTTGGCCTTCGTTCCGACTTGTCTTCCTTCTCCAAGAATTTAGCTGATTTCACTAAATCCCGGCTTATGGACTTGCGTGGGGAAGGCTCATGTCTCCCAGACATGCCGCCTGAACCTTTTCCCGATAAGACTGTTTTGCAAGATTCAAATGTTTTGACGCGGCAAGGCCGGTCATCCGCAGATCAATACTTTCGTACACGGGCATGGGACAGATTTGATGATGCCGACGGGACCACATTTTTTTGCATGCGTCGCACACTGGCCACTTATGACCATGCGTCCAACAGTTGGAAAAATACACCCGACAATGCGGTGCCATGTCCTTCATCTGGTTTTGCGCAAGCTTTTGCGAATCTGGTCCGGGCGAATTCTGAAGCTTGCCTAATCCGTGCCTTGTTCAGCCTTGGCTTGGCGCAGCCCCTTTTGGATTTAGAGAAGCTTTTGAAGCTGTTGGATTCCTATGTCCTTGTTGCTGTCGGCCCGTTTGCTTCTCAATTCTGGCGTCGGGAGTCCCTTGCAGGGGAGGCTAATCCACACACACAAGGCTTCTGTGCATTTTGTCATGAGTTTTGCCTGCACGCAACCTGTGAGCACATGCACGCGGCCTTCCTTATCTTAGGGCAACTGTCTCTCCAACGGCCTGTCTTTCCGGAACGGAGCAAGCCCGTGCCACTGTTTGAACAAGACCCGGTAGAAGTCTTGCTGCCGGCAGCGTTGGGTGGACTCTCAGCGCGCGGCCAGACCCGGCCTGACCCGCTCGACCTTCCTCGAGAAAATGCGAACCTCACCGCCTTTCTGCGTGCCCACAATTGGATTTTGTGGAACCGGCCGCTGCAGCAGCAGCAGATGACAGCGCAACAACTGTCCAGCCTCACCTTCGCAGATCTGCGCCTTGCTGCGCCGACTATTCCTTCCGGCGTTCTCCTCCAAATTCAATCTGCTGCCTGCGAGTGGATGCATTGTGAGGCCGAGACCTTGGAATCTAAGCTCAACAAAATCAGTTCCGTGTCACTTGCGGCTGTCCTTCCATGTCTGCTTCGTTTTGCCTTTGCCTAGTCATGCCCGTTGCCTTTCCTTTTTCATGCCCGTCGCTTGCCTTGCCTCCACTGAGGTTCAAGCCGTCAGTCCGGATGTCTGGCTCGCAGCTCCACTCCTGATTTTTCCATGGCTTCCAGATCCAATCTTATTTTTTTGCTTGCCTTGCCTGCGTTGAGGTTCACGCTGGCTCTCCGGATGTCTGACTCCCAGCTTCGTTCCTGCGCATTCCAGAAGAAGATTTCAGCTCAATCTTTTGCGTCACTTGTGGCTATTCCACGTGCGGTTGTCCTTTCATGTTTGCTTCGGTTTGCCTTTCCTTTTGCATGCCCGCTGCCTGCCTTGCCTCCACTGAGGTTCAAACCGGGTCTCCGAATGTCTGGCTCCGAGCTTCGTTCTTGACTTTCCCAGGCATCGCTTTCAATTCAATCTTTTAAGTCACCCGCGGCTGTTTCCGAATTGGTGCGTTTTGCATGTCCCTTTTCATGTCCGTTGCTTGCTTTGCCTGCTCTAAGGTTGAAGCTGGCTCTATGGATGTCTGGCTCTAAAAATTCTTCTTGCCGAACTTTTGCGTTTCAGCGTAACCGCCATGTCCTCCGATGTCCTCTGTCAATTAGAAATGCGTGTAGCTGCTGCCATGTTCTTCCATGATTAACTTCTTCCTCCCATATCCAGCCCTCAGCTTTGGTTTTGCATTCCGTCTTGTTTCTGGCTGCGCACATGTGTTCCTAGCTGCTGCTGTCTCAAAGGCCAACAAGTCTGCTGAACCTGCGTCACTACCAGTTGCACTCCTAGATGTCCTTTTTGAGCGAAACAATCAATTCCTGTGTAGGTTTAGTCTTTATTGTAGCTTTTTCTGCCGTGGTACGTGCACATTAGGAACAGGCTTTCTCATCCGAGGTCCTGCTCTGAGTTTTTTTTGTCGCATGCTGTCTGCTTTCTTCATGTCCACCGGTGTTCCTGCGCAGTACTGTACCTAAGGCGAACAAGTCTGCTGAACCTGCCCCACTATCAGTTGCAGCCTTAGCTGTCTTGTTTGCTGCGAAGACGTCATGTTCTGTCGTGGTGCGCGCACATTAGGAAGCGGCTTCCTCATCCGAAGTCGTGCTCCCAGGTTTTTTTTTGTCGCATGGTCCCGTCTTCTTTCTCAACGTCCGCATGTGTTCCTACTGCCTCAGGCCAGCAAGCCTGCTGAACCTGCCCCACTACCAGTTGCAGCCTTAGCTGTCCTGTGTGCGCGAAGGCGTCATGTCTTGTGTAGATTCTTGTCTTGCCTGTGCCTGCTGCCCGCGTCCACTGAGGTCAGTCCCGCTTCGCCTCCGCCCCCGCAACGTGTCCAGCTCTTAGTCCGGCCCGCGTTTCTTTTCCCAGTGTCCTTCTCCTTTCAATGCCCATTGAGGCGCCAAAGCCTGCCACTGCGAGAAACATTGCTGCTCGCTTGCCATATTCTTGCAGTGACTTGCGTGTTGCAGTCTACAGTCGCTAGTTCTCACTGTCCGAACCTGAGGAATCTTACCGGCGACTTGGAGCTGATGGCTTGCTCCCTAGACCTCTGAGCCTTGAACTCAGACATGTTCCAGATCCTTCTGCAAGAATATGAATGCATTTGCCTGCTTCTTAAGGTAGAATATGAATGCATCTGCCTGCTTCTTAAGGTGATTACAACGCTTGCTGATGCGTCTACCGCTATCGAAAAAAGGGGCCAGTGCAGCTCGCGTGTGTGCATGGCTCCCAATATGAACATTTTTACGTCATAAATTTTTACGTTCATACAAGTTCCGGTCTCGCCGCAATTTCCATTCCTTCCATTATCGCCACTATAACAAGTAAGACAAGTATTAAATGACTCGACGACAACGACGACGACGACGACTACTACTACTACTACTAACTCCTACTCCTACTCCTCCTCCTAGTCCCACTCCTACTCCTCCTCCTCTGCTGCTGCTGCTGCTTCTATTGCTACCACTACAACAACAACAACAACTACTACTGCTACTACTATTACTACTACTACTACTACTACCACTACTACTAGTAGTACCATTACCATCTACTACTACTACTACTACTACTACTACTACTAGTACCATTACCACCTACTACTACTACTACTACTACTAGTACCATTACTACTACTACTTCTACTACTACTACTACTACTACTACTAGTACCATTACCACCTACTACTACTACTACTACTAGTACCATTACCACCTACTACTACTACTACTACTAGTACCATTACTACTACTACTACTGCTACTACTACTACTACAACTACCTTTTTTGTTTTTTTTTTGATCCTTATTTGTTTTTTTTTTGATCCCTTAATTTTGTTTTTTTTGATCCTTATTTGTTTTTTTTTGATCCTCTAGCCTTATCTACAACTACCTTTTTTGTTTTTTTTTTGATCCTTATTTGTTTTTTTTTGATCCCTTAATTTTGTTTTTTTTGATCCTTATTTGTTTTTTTTTGATCCTCTAGCCTTATAGTACCTCACTGCCATGCCACCATAAATTAACAATGGTTGGAATGATGGTTTGAAATCGGAACTGACCCCAAATCGTGTGACATCAGACATCCTGAATGTCATGTAGAATGATGTATCTTTGAGATACCCCCAGGACTTTCCTCTACAAAATCCCAACGGCTAGAGCTTTTTTAGGATGTATGAGCATGACCCTCAGGTTTGGGATGTTGTAGGTAGGCGGACATGTTGGGATGGATTCAATTGGAAATGGACTAAAACCTATGGGAGCATTGGAAAGGAGGAAAGAACGTCCACCTGTCGGCTATTTTGACAAGGCAACTAAGGCTTGATCCATTCGCCGCAACGTGCTTCCAGAAAACATTCGACTTGCTTTCAGGGAAATAAACATACCAGAAACATCCAGAAACCCATGGTATTTGATGGTGGAGATTAGCATCGTATCCAGCAAAAATGCACTGAGGACATCCCCATGGAGAGCATCTTCCCTGAGGGCAGCTGTATCACTTCAGTGCAGGACTTCTTAACGACTGCAGGCGCGAGGGCAGGTCGTGACCCCCTTCCTTTCAACCAAAAACTGATGTATGTCATTGGTGCAACACAAGGTCTTCCAATGTCTCACAAGATCTCACAATAACATATACAATAACATCAATGTGGTAAACTTGGTAGGTAAACTCAATAATCAACTTATCATCCCTAAGTGTGGTTGATTTCTGGGCTTGGCACCATCCCCCAATGGGATGATCCCCCTACCGGACTGTCATAAAAACCATTGGGGCTGAGGTGTCAGCCCTGCAGAGATGGAGTCCACCTACCGGGTGATGCAGCTTGGTATTGCGCAACATTGTGACATGAAACTAATATGGGAATCCACAGTATTTACCCATTATTGTTGGCTAGTGATACCCATCATCAGTATTATCCATTATATCCCCTATAAATCCCTATCAACAACTGTGACATTTTAGCGGTAACTCGCCAGCAAATAATCAATTTTAGAGATCATTTTCCCATATATTTTCCCATTGAAGAGGATAGAAAATGGGGCGATTGTCCCCGGGTTTCCCTTTGGGCCCCCGCTCTCGCCATGCCAAGGTCCCCGTTCATCGCCTCCAGTTCGGTTCGATGTCCTTTCCTGGTTATCTCTCAGCAAGGCTTTGCAGTCGCCTCCGGTCAAAAGCAACCGAAAGTCCATGACAATTCCCCATTTAGTTCGATGATTTTCCATGATTTTCCATTAAAACCTCCAGGTATAGGGGATTTCCAAATGCCATGTTTGAGTACCGGAGGGTACCAACTCTGATAGATTAAGGATGGTACCCCGAAAAAGTGCTAGGATGCAATGTGCTATCAATAATGAGACCCCTCCACATCCCTCCACTATTCGCAATAAACTAGTGTTTTTTGGTGGATTATTATCCCATATGCATGCTGGGCTGACATGGAAATCACTACAAGAAGATGGGAAAAGATATTTCCCCTTTGTGAACTTCAAAGTGGGTAAATTTGAGGAATGTGATGTTTTTTTTCTTCTGTTGATGTGCTTATGGGAGTCATTAACGGAGTTGGTGGGGTGCAGCCTGCCGCACAACGAGCACAGAGTTCGGTTGCTTCAAAGTTCAGAAAGAAATCCGATACCTTCGAAACTTGAATCAACCACTACATTGAGCTGACCAATTTCAAATATATACATAACATTGCATAGCCAACTAATTAAAGATGCGGACAGGGACAGGGATAGACAGGGACAGGGATAGTCAATATCGCTACAAAATGGGAGCTAGAGGGGCAAGTCAAGTGACCCTTGAAATATATGTAGATAATCCATCGACAACAGGGCTTCCACCATCAAGAATGGGTCATTCAACGATTAAAAGGGAATAACGGGGAGGATTCAACGAAAATATAGAACACAATCCCATGCCCCCAAAATCAAACAGACCGACGCCCTGCTTTAGTATACAGGATTTGTATGGATGTAATAGTTCATTTTTGGGGTTGAGAGTTGAGAGGTATCTTATTTTCAAGCATAAGGAATAGGAAGGGATTAAGTCCCAAACGGCGATTGGAACAGCGTGCTTTCATGCATTGATGACAATTGACATTTGGGAGTACAAACCTGCAGGAAAATCATGGAAAATCCAAAGATTTGGAGGTAAAAAAAAAATCCTTTCCACTCCTTCCGGGTGGATCACTTCCCTGCGTCACATTGGCAGGGCTTATCGATGGCTTCCGAGCCCCCACTGCTGGTGAACTGTCAACCCTCCTGCAGCTGTTGGTGGCATATGCTCACGGCTGCCACTGGGACTGGGCGTGGTGGAGTTGGGGAGTTGGGGATGGGGATAACTATGAAGGATCTATGAAGGTTCTTGGGCCATGAATCAAAGGCTTCGAAAATTCCTTTCCACACAATGCCTTGAACATTTCATACCGATGTTGTGTCAATTACTCTGGGTTCCGTACGTGGCATTCCTTCCACATTTCCGAAATCGTCAATCCAACACATACAGGGCCGCTGACCTGTAC